TGCAGATAGCTGACGACAGGAAACCTGGAACCAGATGCATGCCGAAACCTAAAGTAATGTGCAGACTGCAGATAGCTGACGACAGGAAACCTGGAACCAGATGCATGCCGAAACCTAAAGTAATGTGCAGACTGCAGATAGCTGACGACAGGAAACCTGGAACCAGATGCATGCCGAAACCTTAAGTAATGTGCGTGCTGACGACGGGAAGCCTGGAACCAAAAACAGGCCGAAACCTAAAGTAATGTCCATGCTAATGACGAGAAATCTGGAACAAATGCATCCCGAGGCCTAAAGTAAAGTGCCTGCTGACGACCAGTAACCTGAAACTAAGTGCATGCTAGTACCCGGCTACACAGAAAACAGATGTAAGCTGAAAACTATGAAACCTAGAACCAAATGTATACTGATACTAAGATGTACTGGATCCAAGTGCATATGCATAACAAAAGCTCAGAAAACCAAGAAACCAGATCCATGCTGAACTTCGTATACTCTGGTAGCTCCTCTAGTTTAGATTGTACGTACAAATATGACGCAGCACATTTCCCTGGTTCTTTTAACTTCAATAGCTTTTTAATCAGAGGGGTTATTCACGCACGATTTCAATATTATGAGAGATTTTCTATAATTTGACGTTTTTTAAGCTAAAACATTATGCAGAATATAACATTTTTTTATCTTATTATTTTTCGCTCCGCTAAGAAACACATATAAATATTCATAAGAACCCACTTTATTTTTTTTAAATTTTGTAATGAATTACGGGTTTTTAAATAATAAAATTGCAATCTAAATTAGTCGCAATAAATGAAATTTTTTTTTTTGGGGGGGGGGCGGTGAAATAGAAGAAGAATGTGTTTTCCAATACTTTCAACTATTTAATACGATTGATATCTGAAATTAATCATATGTCTCCTCTCATGTCCCCCCTCCCCCCCCATCCCCTCTAAATTGTTTTCTTCAATATACCATGAGAAAAACTTTCTATTTAGCAGAATGTACCAACACTTTTGTTTGAAAAAAACATGATATAATTAATCTAATTCATGTGTGGTTTCTCTGCATCAATTAACCTATTCTACTAGAACGCTTAACCCGTTTTTCTACCGTGTTCACAGATCAAAAATTGAGGCAACTCGGTTAAGGGGTTTCTGAGTTATATTCAGACTAAACAAACTAACAGTAACAAACAGAGATTACTACTTTATAAATATATACTTTACTTGTCTGTCTATCTTTTTATTATCATTAAAGGACAACCCATCATTCAATGAAATAGGGGTCGCCGCTCCTAGCCGCCGAAACGAATCCATGGGCTGACCGAACCGTGTCACCCATAGACCACCCCAAGGGGCCAAGACAGCTCCGTTGAATGACCCGAGGAAAGGTTTATGTCTAAAACCAAGTCAACTTTTACACTTTTTGAAAATCCCTCAATAAAAAAAATAATCTGCGACCATTTCTATTTTTTCGAGTATTCGATGAAAAAAGGGGACAAGAAAAAAAGCAATTTAAAGCTAAAGTTGATACTAGAAATGTCTGGAAATTTTAATCAACATTTTTCAATAAAAAGTCAAATAAAAAAGCCAAACTTTTGTGATGATATGATCAGATTTAACATTCGTGGGAAGTTGAATTCATCATTTGCTTAAAAATGTTACTTTTAAACTCTAAATAATGAACGTCATTTTTATCTTGATTTTAACGACAAATATTATTCATAATTTTCATGAAAATTTTTTATTGTGCACAATACACTTATAAATAAATATAAACTCAGGGTGTCCCAAAAACCGTCTCAAAGCTCACTACACATCGTACGAAATTATAGTTTGCATTTTATTTTACCTGATAATGATGACATGGAAAAATATTAACCCTATAATGGCTGGGGGGTTGAATCTATGTATAGCCTGAGGCGGCGTCCCACGCCCCCCCTTGTAGAAAAAGACCTTAGGTCCGTATAGGGTTAAGATGCATGTTCATAGCCTATTTTTTCAAGGCCATCTCATTTCAAGAAAAAATTAGATTGCTAACTTTAATAGTTTGGGTGCCAGGGAAGGTTGAAGAAAATGCCCAAAAAAGGTTGGAAAATGTGAAAAATATTTTTGTTTGTTTTAGACAAATATCAAAATGTGACACGTTTCAACATTCATTTTTCAATGGGTTATTCAAAAATGTAATTTTTAGATCTGTAGCGTCTCATAAAAGTTATGACTTATTTTAGATTATTTCTTTTCAAATGAACCGGACTTTTTACCCCCTGTACCCTAACTTTGCATAAAAAAAATCCTTTTTTATGAATAATAAAGTCTTTTTAAGAAATTACTCAAATATGAAAATACAGTATTTAAACTTCTCATTAAATATATTTTCATGCGGCTTTTGGATTAAACGTAAATCATGGATTTTTAAAATTTTTTTAATAATTTCCATCTCTTCTTTTTTATCTAAAGAGTCCCAAAAGTATAGTTAATTCATTTAAGTATCCTTTAGTTCTTTATACAAGGTTATGTTTACAGTTTCAAGCAAGCCTTATCATAAAATTTGGGCGATTGAAAACTTATAAAATTATATTTATTATGTATAGGCAGTACATATTCTCATTCTAATATTCTAATTTTATTTTCAATAAATAGATGGAATACATATTTTATATACACAGGGTTACACACAAAGAATGAGACTTGAGAGACCGAAATTTAAGGCAGAGTATTATACTCTAATTCTCACATTGTAATCTACAAAAGTGCATATTCTCTTAAATTTCCGCCTCTGAGACGACTGTACGGAATTCGTACCGTATGTTTCCTTGTATGTATGACTCCCTGCAACTGTAAACTTGTTCTTTTATTGTCCAATCATAAAAAATCTAATAAGTCAGGTCGTCTTTACAATCTTATTCTTTATAGATAAACCTGTTTTATAGCATTTAAGTCAAACTGCTAAGAAACCTCAATCAATTTAAAATTTAATTTTTGATTTACATGTTCTAAACATTTTAACTCCTGTGCCGCTAGTTAGAATCATCAAAATGGAAAATGGGAAAAACGTCGGAAAAAATTAAATTTTAGGTCAAGACATGGACATTTTTACAGATTAACATAAATATTTCATCTGTTGTGGGTAACCCTCTTTTGTATACTCTGGTAACAAAGTGTAATGGTAGAAAATTTTTGTTATTGTATACTAATTGGCTATTAAAGTATAACAGAAGTAACAAACAGAGGATAAAGGATCAAGTCACATTAACCTAATATTTTCTCTATATAACCTTCAAAAAATCTAGTCAATTTACGTAATATATAGACCCCCTTTTTAGATTTTCCAAAGAATGGTTTTTATTCAAAAGATAATATAAACCTATTTTCCATAGCAAAGGAGATTTTTTTTAGAATTTCAAAATTAGAATAGTTTTGAATAGAATTTAAAGAAATTCTATTCTTCAGAGTTGACGCCAATTTTAATTTATGAAAAGTAAAATCTATAAAATAAATCTCTTTGTTGTGAAGAAAAGACGTAAATAGAAAAGAAAAAAAGAAAATTAAAAATTGTCCATTGTTGTAATGTTAGTTTTTAAATATTTTATTATATTATTAAGAATCACCTGTATCCCTCCCGTCCCTTCTCCCATTTCCTCCTTCCCTCTCCCTCAATCTCCCTTCCCCTCATCTCCCTCCTCTCATTTCCCCCCTCTCCCTCTCCCTCAATCTCCCTTCCCCTCTTCTCTCTCCTTTCATTCCCCCCTCTCCCTCTCCGCACTCCCCCCTTCCCACTTTCTCACTCCCCTCTTCCCAATTTCTCCCTCCATTAAAAATTAAAAAGTTTCCAAACACAGAAAACGCATTTTCTAGAACAGAAATCTCATGAAAGTTTACTATTTAAAGATATAGAAAATACAGTGATACCCACGGCTGTAAAATAGAAACACAGAAATTAATCAAACTTTTTTGTTGGGATTTTTATAGACAAATTGACAAACAGTTTAAACAGTAGTTTGAAAATAGATTCGTCAAGTAAAGTTCGCCTGAGCTGGAAACTTTTGAATGGGATATCCTTAATCCCGATCGGTTAATTAATCCGAGCTGGGAACTTTAGAATGGTGGATATCGGGATTAATGCTTGATCCACTCTTTTTCTTATTCTCCAGATTAAATATTTCTTGTTTTCCTCATGAATTTAATATCCAGATTAGTTAACAGATCGGGATTAAGGATATCATATTCTAAAGTTTTCAGCTCTGGAGATTAATAACAAGAGGAGAACAAGCATTATTTAATCTCGAGATAAAGAAAAAGAGTTGATCAAGCATTAATCCCGATATCCAGAAATCAAAAGTTCCCAGCTCTGAGCTGAAAACTTTAGAATGGGATATCCTTAATCCTGATCGGATAATTAATCTGGAGATTAAAAATGAGTGGAGAACAAGCAATATTTAATCTCGAGATTAAGAAAAAGAGTGGATTAAGCCTTAATCCCGATATCCACCATTCTAAAGTTTTCAGCTCTGTTCTTTCATCTGAAATATATCTATTTAATGAAAAGTGACCAAAAAAGTTCCCTTCTGACAGGTTTTCCCTCTAAACTTTAGACTTTACCGGTACTTAATTGCCCAGCTCTAAAGTCTAATATCTTTATTCCAAGTAATGAATCTCTTCAACTAAAGCCTCAAAGATTTTTACAGTTAAATGAGCTTAAAGTAAATATTTAAAAAGAGTTTATTATGATAAAAATCCTCGATTAAAAATCACATATAAAATAAGACATACATTTTAAATTTGTCATATTGGTAAAAACACGTTTATGTTTTTCTACTATTCAGTAATCTTTGGAACTAAGGTATACATGATCTACTTAACCTCTCCGTCCTTTTTTTTATTAACATTTTCTTTTTCAGAAAAAAACGAATGGGAAAAAATTAACCTGGTATCAGTTTTTAACTTTTTAAAACGATATACGAAAAATATAAAAGAAAATCATTGATTTTTTTCAGAATAATTAAACATGATGAGTAGAGCTACAGGAAAGAAAATAGTTGCCCAAGATCAGAAATCAAGAACAAGCCAGGAGACAAGAGCAGGGGCGGGAGTAGGAGAACAAGAACACGAACCAGGAACACCAAGAACTGGAAAGGAGGCTAAAGAGAAACGTGGCTGGGATAAGGAACAGTTTGAACCAAATTAAATAGATTTTTATCAGCTTAAATGGACTGTAAAGTGTAAGCATTAATAAAGTGACCCTCCATGCAAAGATGGCAATGCCCGATGCGAAACAGTACCCGGAAACAGTACCCGGAAACAGTACCCGGAAACAGTACCCGGAAACGCTTTTTGTCTGATCAAGCATGATTTGTTTTTAATTGTGGAGTCTCTAAAAAGGGACTTGCGCATTTCTACTGCAGGAAATCCCTTTTAAACCTTGAAAATTACCTGAAAATTACTCTTACAGTCCCTTTAAAGGAAATGTAGACGTTTGTAGTGTGCCAATTTCGATTCACATCTGTACCCTTTTAACCTTCATCTGATGAAATAATTTTCAAATGTAATTTCCCTGTAAAAGTGACTTTAAGAGTTAAAAGATAGAAATCTTACTCATTGAACCGGTTCAAAGAGTATCGATGTAAATCGTACATGCCAGTACGTTCTTATAGTACCTTTAATTGTAAATTTTCTTAATTTCTATTGATTTTAATTTGGTTAAAATATTCTCCCCTCTCTCAGAAAATCCGGGAAATGTCAAGAGAAATGTCACAGTCCAGTAGGTAGGGATGGTATGGGAACTAGACAGATTTGAAATAATTTCCAAAAACACATTAATTGTTAACAGAACAAAACAAGAGAAAGGTTCTGAAGGTAATAAAAAAGGCTTGAAATGTAGTTTCATTTTAAAAGATTGTGTTTGCACTGCTACTTTTGGGAAGATGTTTGTGAGAACATCAAAAACAAGTTTTTAACTTTATATAAAAAAATTATGTACGTTGGTCAGCGGTTCGAGACACACCTTTTCCATTTTACAGAAGGATTTGACATTTTCGATAAAATCGCATAATGTAAAATAATTTTCATTATTTCACATTGAAAATAATATTTAACCCTTAAAGAAAAATTTTCTATAAAAAATGTAATTTTTAGTTTTCAATGACTTTTGGCAAGCGTGATGTTTTTTTATTTACCACCCTTTTCATTTAGAGAGGACGATGGTGCACTAGTTGCAGGAATACGCATATCTAAACAAAATGTTGAAGAAATCAGGTATTTTCAAATATAAACATTAGCCGTACATTTACGTTCAAGGAAAACTAGAAAACTCTGGATTAGGATTTTTAGGCTTAAAGTGTAACTTTCAATAGTCTAATCAACTTGAGAAACAGCAATTGTGCAGTGTAAACAGACCCATTTCACTCAAAAAGGGGATTTAATAAATTAGTAGTTAAACTTCAACCTTGAAAATAAATACATAATACATAAACAGTACATTGAAGTGCGTACATAATACATACCTTGTACAAACAAACATAATGAATAAATACATAATACATAAACAGTACATTTACGTACATATACATAGATTGTATGTACATAGTAAATACATAAAGAGTACATTTACGTACATAAAAATACATTGTACGTACATAGTAAATTAGTAAATACATAAACAGTACATTTACCACACCAGACTAACCAGAGTGAGCAGCATTCGGTTTCTTCTATTTGAAATCAAACGTGTTTTGGTCTACAATTCAATAATCATTTACCTTACGGATTTGTTTATTTTGTATATTTTCATTCAAAATGCATATGCCAAAAAAAAGGATTTAAGAAAAAAGGCTAACGAATTATGTTTAATGGGTCAAATTGTTATCGAAAGTCACAGCTTTCTGGAAAAGTGACAGAACCGTTAAATCCACGTGTTACGAACATACATACATTGTACAATTTAAAAACATAGCAAATACATACACAGTACATTTACGTACATAAATACTTTGTGCAAAACTCCTAAATACATAAATTTATTAAGTGAAATGGTTCTGCTCGATCACACATGCATAATTTATTAGTATATTTAAAGTCTTAACTTGAGTTTAAACTTGAGTTTACAAGTCGACTTCCTATTCCAGATTTTTCTGGTTCTCACTGTAGTAAATACATACACAGTACATAATAAGCAGTACATTTACGTACATTAATACATTGTACAAACATAGAAATTACATACATAATACATAAACATTACACTTATTGTACATTGTGTAAAATCAGTACATAAATAGTACAGGCATTGTTTACATGAACATTATAAAAATGTTACAAACATTAAAAAATATAGATATTGATTAAACTTTGTGTAAAAGGTAACTCTTATAAAAAACTGTATTAAAAACACTTATTAAAAATGTTTTTTTGTTGCAACATCTTTAATGTCCATTTTAGAATACTTCACCTAACTAAATATAATACTCACAAAATTGTTGAAGATGATAAATATTGGCATATTTGCATATATCTTAAAATTTGTACTACAACACAAATATAACTTTTTAAATTTGTGTATGGACCAATGGAAACTTGTAAATTATAAAGCGTTTCCTTAATAGCATTGTAATTAGTAGAGGTTCACTTAAAGGGACTGTTTTCGTAGTTTCAAGTGACCCTCCAAGCAAAGATGGCAATGCCTGATTTACAGAAATTCCATTAAAACCTTTATCTGATCAATTACTAAAAATAATCAGCTATTTAATTTTATAAACATTGACACTTAAAGCACACTCAATCAGACAAAGCTTTTAATGGAACCGCTCTGAACCGGGCATTGTCATCTTAGCATAGAGGGTCACTTGAAACTATGCATACAGTCCCTTTGTATTAACTAGTTTGAACTGGTATAATTCACATTCTTTATTTGCATGGATTTAGCAATATTAATTTGCTGTAATCTTTCATTTTAAGGCTTTATATACATCTATTATGAACATGTTCACAATTGAAATAAAAAATGAGCGCGGAGCGCCCTGAAAGGCTAGTTTTCTTTAAAAATATTAAATTCTAAATAATAAAAGAATAGGTTGATCAACAAGCATTAAAAACAATTAAAACCATTTTCTGAATAAAATTGAGAAAGATTTTGTCGTTTTTGAATCTTAATAAGATATAATTTCCCATGACTCTGCTGCATAAAACAGAGACTTTAAAATGTCCATCAGGTGTAAATTAAAACATTATGTTTACCAGAAGATCCTCAATTTTGTCAAAAAATGTGAAGAATTGAATTTACTCCGAAAACATATTTTTAATGTTTGCTGTATAAATGGAATATAAATTCCCCTTTAACTAAACCTTAAGTACACTTACAGAACTCGGAATCTAGATTTAGCACGATTAACATGTCTTATAACTAGGGCTCGGCAAGATGGAAAATGTTACAACAAAAACTGTTTACCAAAAGAAAACTAATGTAAATTCCCTAAAATAAAAAATATCATTGGACAATTATTGGACGTTAATTTTTTAATTCAAAATATTAAAAGTTTTAAAGAGATTACCATAAACTCAAATTTTCCCATTCTTATATCTTTGCAACCTTTCAATATAAATCTTTAACTTTTCAAATGTAAATTGTTTCATCTAACAGAAATATCTAAGGTTGCAAAGATATAAAAGATAAAAGGAAAAAAAAATCAGAGTTTCTGGCAAATACTCAATTGCAATTCCTTTAAAAATACCGGATAATTGATCTCATATTTTTGCCCGACTCATTTAATACCAAAAATCTGTGCACTATGCAAAGTTGCAGTAGCGAATGGAAAGGTAACGATCCTTATTTTCCAGGGAAAATCAAAAATTCCGGTAACGAACGGAAATTCCAGTAACAAACGGAAATTCCGGTAACGAATAGATATTCCAGGAAAAAAAAAAATTCCCTAACGGACAAATATTTTGGGAACAAACGGAAATTCTGATAACAAATGGATATTTCAGGAACAAACGGAAATTCCATTAACGAGCAGAAAATCTAGTAACAATCGGAAATTCCATTAACAAATGAAAATTCCAGTAATGAACGGAAATTCCGGTAACAAACAGAAATTCCGTTAACGAACGGAATTTCCAGTAACAAATGGAAATTCTGGTAACGAACAGATATATTCCAGAGCCAAACTGAATTTTTTTGAAGTTAAGGGAAAATATGTAACACAAGAAAATTTTAAGGAACTGTAGTTGTAATTTTAAGGGACTGTAGTTGTAATTTTAAGGGACTGTAGTTGTAATTTTTTAACTTAATTTTAGAGAGTATCATTTCCGATTCACAGCCGTTCAGTTTCTCGACCAAATGACGAAAAAATGCTTTGACATTTAAAATTTGTTGATTTATAAATTCAAAAAGAAACGCTAACTTAATGGACATTACCGAATTGTTTGAAAAAAAGTATAAATGTCTCAAGTCCTAATCTCACTCTAGGATAGTGGATAATATTATTTTTAGGATGAACATAATAAGGTTTGGCCACAGAGTATACATAGAGTAGAACTTATTGTTTCTTCGGTGTCATTTTTTTCGCGTCTCTTTTATTACTCTGTGGGTCTTCCACTTATTTAAAAATGATTAACTCTGAAAAATACAATATATAAACTAGCAAAAGAGTCTTAGAAATAAATTGAAAATTTTTATTGTTTTTTTGTAACTTTGCTTTAAACAAATATAAATTATGAATATATAAATGATTCAATTTTAAAATGTTTTATTAGAGAAAACCTCAAAAAAAGTTGAAAAATCTCTAATTTCGGCTTCCTTTCTAATTATCAAACAATGAATATTTTTCGAGATAGATATTCTTTTATTGTGTTTTTCAAGTGAAAATACATTAATAAACATTTAACATTACCTTTAATTTCGAACATTGTGTTAAAATGGAAAAACTTTACAGATACCCGAAGGCGATGCACGACATCGCGGCAACCGATATAAAGTGTTGTTTTGATAAAAAGAATGAAAAAATATATTCGGAACACCACAATTAATCGAATATTTTGCGTCGAATAATAATATTTGCAAAATATTTCTGAACTTCGAAGGTTTTCCGTGTGACTGTTTTCAATAATTAGACTTAGCAGGACTCTGTAATCGTAATTCCATGCGTCCCTTCATGCAGAGATGACAATGCCCGATTTGCAACAGTACTTTTGAAATCTTAATCTAATCAGAAATGTCGGTTTTCACACTGGAAAACTGTTTATTTCTGTGCAAGTGCTACTTATTAACAAAGAAAATGCGAAAGTCAGTTTGAAGAAACAAAAGCATTGATATGTAATTCATACTTGATAAGAAAAAGCTTTCTATGGGTACTGTTGTAAATCGGGCATTGCCATCTTTGCATGGAGGGTTACGCTTATACAGTGCTGTTGAGATTTCAATTAGTTTTAGAAAGCTTCCAATTGGGATTTTCTTGGAAAATCCTTTAATAAAAATGACAAAAAAGTTGTCAGGGTTAAATATTTTTTCTAATTTTTCAGGGATAATTAATGATTTTAGTAATTTAAACCTTTAAAAGGTTTTTGATTTTTTACGCATTTTTATGATTTCCAAGTTTTACTGTTTAGGGATGTTTTTATGGAATTTGATATGGACGGAGATGGGACAATCACAACTAAGGTAAACCAGGGACTCCGGGAGCCTTAGTAAACTAGGGACTCCGGGACCCTTAGTAAACCAGGGACTCCGGGACCCTTAGTAAACAAGGGACTCCGGGACCCTTAGTAAACAAGGGACTCCGGGACCCTTAGTAAAGAAGGGACGCAGAGACCCTTAGTAAAGCAGAGACTCAGGGACCCTTAGTAAACAAGGGACTTAGGGACCTTAGTAAACAAGGGACGCAGCTGAACCCTTAGTAAACCAGGGACTCCGAAATCCTTAGTAAACCAGAGACTCCGGGACCCTTAGTAAACAAGGGAGGCAGGAACCCTTAGTAGACCAGGAACTTAGGAACTCTTAGTAAACAAGGAAACACAGGGACTTTTAGAAAACCAAGGACTCCTAGGGACCAAGTAAACCAAGGAGTCCAAAGACGTTGCTAATATAATACAATATGTAGTGACTTTTAAAATAAATATACATAAATTAGACTTCAATAGGATTACCAAAAGTGGATTTTACTTGTGCTAATTGCAGACCCTGTAATTTCCGAGCAATTCCGCGCATGTCTGCGGATTTCCGTGAGATTCCGCACAATTCCGCGCAATTCCGCACAATTCCGTCCAATACGTGAACATTTGCGCGGAATTCGTGCAACGGAAACCCTGAACTCCATGCTCAGTTTGGGTTATTGAAAAACAATGTAACTGTTAAGCAATCCTAAATAAAAGAAACCTGAGTTTCAGGAGCTTGGCACCGTGATGATGAGACTTAATGAGTTCCCAACAGAACAAGAACTCAAGGTCATGGTGGCCGAAGTCGACCAGGTTTGTTAGATGTGGTAGGGAACCCTAGGCCGCCATGAGCCTCCGCTATGCAGACACGAGCCTCCCAGATTTGCAACATTAAAAATGTATTACATGTACAAACCATTAGTTAAAAGGAAGCTGAGCTGTATAGCCTAGGGCCGAGGCTCATACTGCATGGCAGAGGCTCGTACTGCATAGCAAATCTGGGACGCTCATGTCTGCAAGGCGGAGTCTCATGGCGGCCGGGAGTTCCCTCCCTCGTTAGAGAAAGTTAGAACCAGACAAGGATGTGATGCAAGGAAAGTTATTTCAGAAGTGTACGCATCTTTTGTACTGCAGTGTACTGTCTCTGGGCGGTAATGTAAACACAAGACGGATGGTACAGCCTGACATGGGATCCATCCTTCACATAAAAAATTCAATGAAATATTCTTGTCATAGAAAACTATCATGTGAATTATCAAAATTATCAAATTTAATGCTTTTAACCTCCTCGGATACAGTTTTATGTCAATTTCTCGAGACAGGAACATCAGATAGATGTCTTATATTTCCTTTCATTTTTCCTTTACAGTCCCTTTAAAAATAGCATGAAAGATAATGTTTTTAATGTAATTAATGTAATTAACGAATTTCATCATTAACGATTTCTAAAATATCTGCTGTTGTTGCTGTTAATAATAATGAGAACGTTTATGAACGGTAGCAAAGGAAAATACCATTAATGAAGCGAACATTCTGATTTTAGCTAAACAATCAACGGATACCTGAAAAAAACGCAAACTGAAAAAAGTCAGAACGTGCCTTATCCTAGCTATACGCTATTATATACATATAAATATATATATATATATATACAT